TATGGATACAGCCACCTCTGTTCTCTTTTGGTATCCATATGCAAGGGATCTCTATTCATCCTTTCACTTTCAGCCTATATTATCTTTAAATCTAAACTGAGTCTCTTTTAGACAGCATATAGTTAGATCTTTTTTATTTTTTTAATCTACCCAGCCATCAAAAGTATTATAGTTTTTTGTTTTTGAGACAGAGCCTCAAGCTATCCCCCTAGGTAGAGTGCGGTGGCATCACAGCTCACAGCAACCTCCAACTCTTGGTCTCAAGCGAGTCTCCTGCCTCAGCCTCCCAAGTAGCTGGGACCACAGACACTCGCCACAACGCCTGGCTATTTTTTTTGATTGCAGCTGTCATTGTTGTTTTGGTGGGCTCAGGCTGTGGATTTGAACCCACAACCTTAGGTGTATGTGGCTGGCACCTTAGCCACCTGAGCCACAGGCACCAAGCCAAGTATTATAGTTTTTAAGTATTTCTTTGAACTTAATCTGTAGCATTTAAATCCAAGTATTTCTCAGAACTAAAGACCTCTAGTAACTTGTTTTTTCTCTTCATTTTATATTCCTATTTTCTCTTTCTTCTTTAACAGTGACAACATATTTGGTTCCTTGACAAGACCACAATCGGATCCCAAAGATGTGCTCCGCAAACCCAGGCAACTGGGTCACCTTTGACGATGATCCTACTTTCCAGTCTTCTCAAAAGTCAAAGATTTTGCCTCTGGAGAATCAAGGTGTCTGCAGACCCAATGGACTTAAACTGAACCTTTCTGGCCTCAAGGAATTTCCCAGTGGGCCTTCCTCTACCAGCAGCACCCCTCTCTCCTCTCCCGTTGTAGACCGTTACTTCAGTCCAGGACCTCCAAGTAACTCCCCTCTTTCTACACCTACCAAAGACTTTCCAGGTATTCCTGGCATCCCCAAAGCAGGGACTCATCTGCTTTATCCTATTCCAGAATCTTCGTCAAACAGCCCACTCACAACACCGGGAGCAGGTTCCTCTTCACTGCCTACTAAACCCACCTGCTTATCCCAAGCTTTCTTACCCAGTGGCCACCCATGTACTTATCCAGCTCCCAAAGTAGGTCTTCCAGATGAAACCAGCTCTCACCAGGCTGAAAGCCTGGGGTTTCAAAGTGATAATGCTCCCCAGTTTCAGTATTTTCAGGAGGACTGTGCTTTTTCGAGTCCGTTTTGGAAAGGTGAAGGCAGTGTTTTCCAGTTCACCTTTGACCCCCCAGGAAGCAGAAAGATATTCTCATCAAGAGACAAGGAGATACTTATTGATCAAAAAAGTCTGAATAAATGTTCACTTAACTATATCTGTGAGAAGCTTGAACATCTCCAGTCGACTGAGAACCAAGACTCTCCCGGAAGTCTGTCTATGCGACATGTGTGTGCTCAAGACACGGCCTCTTCCTTTGTGCCCCGTGCGCTCTTCAGGAGTCAGCCCAAAGTTGGTTGGTCTTTCATGCTGAGAATTCCTGAGAAGAAGAACATGATGTCTTCCCGGCAATGGGGTCCAATTTTTCTGAAAGTTTTACCTGGAGGAATTTTACAAATGTATTATGAACAGGGATTAGAGAAACCATTTAAAGAGTTACAGCTTGATCCACATTGTAGGCTTTCTGAACCCAAAGTGGAGAACTTTAGTGTGACAGGGAAAATCCATACTGTGAAGATTGAACACATGTCTTACACAGAAAAAAGGAAGTACCATTCAAAGACAGAAGTCGTTCATGAGCCAGACGTAGAACAGATGCTGAAGTTAGGGTCCACAGAGTACCGCGACTTCCTTGACTTTCTGACTACTGTGGAGGAAGAGCTGGTGAAGCTGCCGGCTGTTTCAAAGCCAAAAAAGAGCTACGAGGAGCAGGAAATTTCCTTGGAAATTGTGGACAACTTCTGGGGCAAAGTAACAAAAGAAGAAGGAAAATTGGTCGAAAGTGCTGTGATAACTCAAATCTACTGCCTCTGCTTTGTGAATGGGAACATGGAATGCTTTTTAACCTTGAATGACCTTGAGCTGCAGAAGCAAGATGCGTGTTATTTTGAAAACAACCCAGAAAAGAAGGGGATCGATATTCTCGACTACCATTTTCACAAGTGTGTGAAAGTACAAGAATTTGAGCAATCAAGAATCATCAAGTTTGTGCCCCTGGATGCCTGTCGCTTTGAGCTGATGCGTTTTAAGACTTTGTATCATGGGGACAACCTTCCCTTTTCTGTGAAGTCTGTAGTGGTCATCCAGGGGGCGTATGTGGAACTCCAGGCCTTCATCAACATGCTACCATTGGCTCAAAGGCCATCCCATGAGGGTTCCTTAAGGTCCTGTGACAATATAATGATACATTTTCCTGTCCCATCACAGTGGATCAAGGCCCTCTGGACCATGAACCTCCAGAGGCAGAAGTCCCTGAAAGCCAAAATGAACCGCCGGGCATGTTTGGGGAGTTTACACGAGCCTGAGGCTGACCCTGTCATTCAGGTCACTGTGGGGTCAGCAAAGTATGAGAGTGCCTACCGGGCGGTGGTATGGAAGATAGACCGCCTTCCAGATAAAAATTCAAGTAAGTATTTAACACCTCAATTTGATTTTCATGGGAATGAGCTTAAGTGTTTTCAGCTTCCTCTTTGGGTCGAAACCAGGCAGAAACAGATGGTAACTTGTTGGCTGAGGCCGTGCTTACGTAGATAGATAGGAGATGGAATATTTAGCCAAACAATTGGTTTATTTGTTTCCTCCTGCACCTGTTTCTACCAGATAAGTTTAACTGTTTTTTTTTTTTTTTTTTTAAAAGACAGAGTATCACTTTGTTGCTCAGGCTAGAGTGTCATGGTATCAGCCTAGCTCATAGGAACCTCAGATTCTGGGGTTTGGGTTCAAGGGATCGTTCTGCCTCAGCCTCTTGATAAGCTGGGATTACAGGCATCCACACCACGCACAGCTAATTTTTCTATTTTTGATAGAAGTGGGGGTTTCGCTTTGCACAGTCTGGTCTTAAACTGAACTTGAGGGAATCCCTCCCATTTTGGCCTCTCTCAGTGCTAGGATTATAGGTGTGAGCCACTGTACCCAGCCCGATAAGTTAACTTTTTACATTTATTTAATACTATAAGAAATACCACCCTAGGCTGGAGATTTGTTGTGGTTGGTGGCACTGAGGGAAAATTTGTAGATATCTATGGTTGGGCTTGTTGAGGTTAACCCATCCACCTCAAATCTTAAAACTATTCTAACATAGATTAGATTCTCTAATTACCCTTTAAAGATCTGTCCTCTATGAATATACCTGCGCTTTTCTGTATTCTCAGCCAGTACCGCCTCCTCCTCAGGTTTTGTTTCCTTCTCTTTGAAATCAGACTGTCCTTTATTTATTTTTTTATTTTTGCAGTTTTTGACCGGGGCTGGGTTTGAACCTACCACCTCTGGCATATGGGGCCAGTGCCCTACTCCTTTGAGCCACAGGCACTGCCCCTGCCTTTTATTTTTTAACCAAAGTGACTTATTTGACTGAAGTACTGCCCATTTGACCATCTTAACTGGTCATTTTAGAATTAGGTGGACACAACCTAAGTGTTGTGTCAATTTTTAAAATCAGTCAATTTTTTCTAAAATTTTGCTAAGAAAATGATCTAGAAGTTTAGAACTTTGAAAAGACAGTTCTAGTATTACATGTCTTTTAGAATAGAGAGTTAGTAGCAGGCAAAATAAAAGTAAAAAAACAAA